TATTGGCTCTTCAGAATGCGCGAGCGCGCGCGGGGGTACCCATCTGCGATAGCCTTAGAGGGCGGAGCTTACACGAAATAGAACAACTCTACTTACTGAACTCTTATCGGTGTTACTGATCAAACCCAAGCTGGCCTCTAATCAGAGGAGGCTGTTTGGTGTAGAAAAAAAAACAAGTAAATGATTAAAATAATTGTCCAATATCATGTAAAATCTAACTATTGAGTTCAGAATATTGTGCTTAATTATCTTATTGCAGCACCCCTTCAAACACTTGTTGACATTTCTTCCTTTGGTCCATGAGATGCTAACAGTACAAACAAGCAAACACATGAGGAAATAAGTGAAACATTATCCCTTCACTTTTAGCAAAGGGTGATGTTCCATTTTGTGTTTGGGTCTTTCTTTTATAAAGATGAGATCTGCAAACAGGTCAGGAGCTCTTTGGGATGTAAATGCATGATAATGGAAAGAGCTAAGGGATTATTGAACTGTTGCCAAAACGCAGCTGTTGGGAGGATAAAGTGAATAACTTCACTTGTTTAGTTGAAACCATTTGTGGGAGGAACTTTAAACATGTGTCTATGAGTTAAGAAGAAGAAGAACCAGTTTGTAAGTAGTTCAACAGCATTCAGCTCACCTGGCAGATACTGTTTGGGAACACACACACAGGTAAGGCCATGTTTTTTTACTAAACTTAAAATATAGTGTTTTTAAAATGCACAGCAAAACTTTGATCAATATTTTAAGGATAAATGTTTGTGCCACAAAATAAAATAGCAACGTTTTCAAAATGATCCACATTTGTATAAARTGTTAAAATGACTTTTGTCACACCTAATATGAGCCAGTATTTTAATTCAAACAGTGAAGTTCATAAATATATTACAAAGGTTTTTTTRGCAGTAATGTTGTGTCCATTCATTTTCTGGCCTTCGATTAACTTTGACTTTGAGAAGGAAATAAAAAAAAAAGCTGTGGACCTGATTCAAGTTAAACATATTTTCAATGCTTACAAAGGACCAGAATAACCTGCCACCTTCAAACTAAATAAAAGTTTCTTCATCACAATCTGTTTCAAGAGCTTTTATAACTTTTCTGAACTGYTTTCTGTATCATACACCAGGAATGAGTTGCTTAGAATGACGAGATCTAAAATTTGGCTAAAGAATGAATTATATTGTTTTAAAAGAAGAACAGTACTGGCTATTTTGGCCACATTGCAGTTGTCTTGTATTTATCATAACCTAACTTGGTGGGTTTATACCTACCTAGAAATTTGAATTTTATGAAGGTGTTCACACCCAAAATGCAGGTATGGATCAAACAAATACAATTCTAAATTTCAGACAGAACTCTGCAAAGCGCCATTGAAGGAACTGTGTGAAATTCCAGCATTCATGTCTTCATTAAAAGCAGAGAATAATGTGGGACATTGGGATCTGCAGAAAGAACAAGGAACAGGTGGAAGAGAACATGGAGAGGTGGAGTTACACACTTGAAAGAACAGGTATGAAAGTCAGCCTTAACAAGACCGTGTACATGTGTTTATGAGAGCCAGGCAGGTGGAACAGTGAGGCTACAAGGAGCAGAGGTCACAAAGGTGCTGGACTTCAAGGACTTCATTGTCCATGAAAACAGAGAGTTTAGGTAAAGAGGTTACGAAGAGTAAGTCCAGCTATGTTGTATGGTTTGGAGACAATGGCACTGACAAAAAGACAGGAGGCAGAACTAGAAGTAGCAGAGAAGTTGAGATCCTCCTTGAGTGACAAGAATGGCTAAAGGACCATGGTCCATCCAAACCTGCAAAATCCATGGTCAATGTCAATGAGGCATCCACCTCCACATATGAAATTATTGTGTTAGAAGATTGTAAGTGCTCAGACAGCAAAGGCATCATTTTTGCTTCATCTACTCAGAAACTAACTGTTGTACCCATTAAATGCTTATAAAGATAGTCAAATGGCCAAAAAACCAAAACAAATGGAGATAACACAGATGTTGTTCACAGAAGAAACCAACTGCTGAAAAGTGTGGCACTCTATGGCCCAGTCCCAATACTCACACTACACCCTACACCAATCTATGAAGTGTATTCACTCAAAGTGTACATAAGGGTTCGAGTGGGCAGGTTACAAGCAYGCAAAAATTGAAGAATTGGGATTTGGTTATACCAGTGACTTGTGCCTCTGCGTCGTAACTACGACATTCAAAATGGCAGGACTGTTCACTGTTTTGGCATTTGTATTGGTTGAAATGATAGCACAACTACAACAAGCAATCGTTTTTTTGGAGAAGAAAGCACATGAACCGAAGGAGGCTTATACACCAGAGTATAATCCTCCTTCTATAAGTTCTTCTTTGATTTTATTGGTGGTTGGCAAACTCATTTAAGTGYATTACTGCAACCACTAGATAGGAAGCTGCTCGGTGGACACTATCATATTTCTGCCTTGTAATTCAAAAYGTCATATACAGGGATGAACTGTGGGTAATGTACATACAAAGTCCACTAGGATGCGGGCTTAKCTGAAGTGTGGCTCAAGGGTGCAAAGGGGGTGGGGCAAAAGACCACTTCCAAGAATTGTGCGAGTTTTGAGATTGGGCCCAAATGTGACAGATYTGTGGCCAAAGTAACAGTGGATATGGCAGTGTAGACTCCAGCAGGAAGCACGCCTGACTAACCCCAACTCTCTGTGTCCACTCCTGAAGGATAAGAGAATTTTGAAATAATCGATGCTGTATAAACTGTTCAGGAAGTTAAAGAGAACAAGGATCAAAAGAAAATATTAAAGTAACAGAAAACAGAGCTGATCGATGCTCAATAAAGTTCAGAAATATTTTTCCACCGACTGAATGACTCTACACGTTATTCTTCAAACAGAAACATGGCCACAGCATTGTCCGAGGAGCAGTTTCGGTGCGCCATCTGCCTGGATAGCTTCATCAACCCTGTGTCTATCCCATGTGGACACAATTTCTGTCTAGAATGCATCACACATCACTGGGACACAAGCAGCAGATCGACTTGCCCCTTGTGCAAGGAGGTCTTCCCGAACCGACCAAGCCTCAGGGTAAACRTAGGCTTAAGAGACATCACTGAACAATTTAGAAGGTACTTAGATGCTTTGTCTATCCATTGTAGACCAGGTTCTTGGTTACTTTTTTTAACTAATCCATTTTGCACTTAACCTTTTAGGACAGTGAGGGTGAAACCAGTGCCAGCAAAGAGACAAACCTCAAGACAATCCTCTAAATCCGACGATATACCTTGTGACATTTGCAATGAAAACAAGTTAACGGCTGTCAAGTCATGCCTCGTCTGTCAAGTATCGTATTGTGAAACACACCTGACGCCTCATCTGAGGGACCCGGTGATGACGAAGCACAGGCTGACGGATCCGGCCACCTTTAGTACGCGTCACCTCTGTAGAAACCACAACAAGGCCCTGGAGATGTTCTGCAAGAGAGACCAGACGCCCGTGTGTACGAAATGCACCGAGAAGAACCACAARCACCATGAAGTTGTTCCCATGGAGAAGGAGAGCAAGAGGATCAAGGTGAGTGGGATGAATTYATTGTATCTTTACCCAAAGTCAAAATCATCCATGATACAGACATCGCAATGCTATTATTTTCACATTTCTATGAGTATTTTRTGTCCATGATTTGGTAAAATTTTCCCTAAGTCTGGAAAAGAACAAACAATAACCATTTTTCTGTATACACCAAAACAAACTGGTCTAAATTGAAAGAAATGTGCTAATCTTCAATTTTGTTTAGACTCAAATAAAGAAGATTCAAGCTGAGATTGAACACGTGATCCAGGCCAGGCTCAGAAAGTCAGAAGAAATCAGGAACTCCATGGAACAAAGCAGAGTAAGACCAATCCTGGAGTTATTTTTTTTTAATATAAATCACTTTTAACTCATTTCTCAGAGTCTGTCAACAGTTTGTGTGAACTCAAACATTCAACATAGCTCTAACATCCGGCCAAGATAAAGCAAAGAATGACGTGGCCCAGATGTGGTTTGCCAAAGATGGTCCATGCATGGGCCAGCACCACATGAAACCAAAGCACTGCATCGCATTGACAGATTTTGGCCACATAGGCTGTGTCTCAATTTAGGGGCTTGGTCTTTTGAAGTCCCCATTTGTCGGCTGCTTATATCACAACTCCATGCCAAAGGCTTTCCCAGTTTGAGTTCTCCTTGGCCATCGAATGAGGTCCCCAAACTCCCGAAAATAAAGTCTGAGTTTCATTATCGGACAAGAAGAAAAAAATTGTATAGGTCTTCTGGATGGGTTCTTCTCTAATGAAACGTTTCGTCTCTCCTCCAAGAGACTTCTTC